TSTSKRRARRGSSKTSSYSTYTYTYTKTRYAMWATATWKTSYCCYYTTYWSARWWTTYYYYTTTWTMTYTYTYTYKYRTAWTYCYTTTYYWWTTTYYTTTYSYTTTTTTATTCGTTTCCGTGACTGAAGATGTTTACATCACTACACGGCTCCAACGCAGCTGACAACTCAAAATGACATGCAAAATGTCAAAATGAAATATAGTTCTTGTTCTCTTGATATAAAAATTGTGAAGCTGTGTCATTCTTGACGTGGTTCAGGTAGTTTTTGCGCTGAAATTTCCTTGCATGAACCACACGTGCTGATTGCACGAAGAGTATAGTCCTCTGTTGCATAACACAGATATATAATATATATCTATATATCGTAAACAAAACCTTATTGATGTTTGAATAATGATCGTCTAATCTTCATGTTGTGAATTGGGACTGCGACCATGGCAAACTGCACGATTGGACTTCACCGAGTGATTTCTGCAAGACCTAATGTGTGGTGATGGTTATGATAGGTGACAAATTGAGGAGATACCAAACTCCTGGTCCCTTGGCTTTTCCATGCATTACACCATATTTTTTTAAAAATGGCAAATAAATTTCCCAACCGCTCGCTGTCCTTGGYTCTAGTGACTAAGAAAATCGGCAGAACTTCTTCGTTTATAGATATCCTTCAAAGATGAAGCTGCCGAAGAGAGCTGGTTCAACAAGGTGTTCATTTCGCATACTAATCCAGCTGACTTCTTTTCGTGTCTCTTAATTTTATCGTGGTAGTCYGTCTCATCAACGCTGATTCTCTTGCGCTTACAGAATCTCAGGTCTCCTTCGGATTGGGAGCTTCTATTGGCAAAAGACCTCAAATCYCTAAGAGTATCGGTCTTTTCCAAAAACAAGTCTGCCGATTCACACCTTCCAGGGACCGTAGGGCTCTGAAGGATTTCTTTAGTTTCTTCGACGGCAGCGATAAACTCGTCAAGAGCATCGAAAATCTGTCCCTCGCCTTGAGGGTCGTCCATTGCATTMAAGAACCTAATCTTGTTCGTCTTGTTTCTGTTCTTYCCCACAGGGTTTTGTTGYTGTTCACTCGTTGTTCACATCGGCCTTTACACCTTACTGAATTGTGGAAAATATCCAGTCAGGCTGTAAGAAATAACAATCCGAAGGCAAATTACGTATGAGCTTAGTGGRTTMCACTGTGACGGRCCAATCAGAAGCCGTGTTTTCACCTGGAACAGCCAATCAGTGGCAATCAAGAGTCACCGCTATTATTAGAATAAGTAATTTTTCTGCATTTTTTCATCGTATCAAGTCGATCTTACGATAACGACCTCTGCTGCTTATATTTCTCGTCTTTTAGGAAATAGAGTTCAAACCTGGTCACAAATATAAGAAAAATAAAAGGCATGTAATTWTYATTGCMTTGTCATCTTCAGTGTTTCATCATTTGATCGACCTCGCGGCTCACAGTGATAAGCCTTTCTGGAGAATTCTATTTGTGAATATTTTATAAAGCGGATCGTTCGTGACAGAAAAAGTGATTTTTCATTGACCTTGCACGATGTTGACAGGTTGGTCTTCCTTATTTAGTCAAAAGAGCAGTGGGTCGAATAGTAGAAATTCCAATGATTTAGTGTCTATTTAACATGTACCACGAGGTCGAGGAGCGGATTGACAGTCCATGAGAACGTACGTACTTGTTCAACAAACAAACTAATTTTTTCAGCATTTTTTTTCGACTATTTTTTTCGCTTTTCTAGATTCAACCATGGTCTAACATGAATCGTCCAGAAGCTCATTATGTTTTTTTAAAGGCTCTTAGATCTGTATCAGCTATCATTTACAATGCCACTATTTCTAGAGTGAAATATGGTGTTTATTTAATCAGAATGCTGGGTTTCTGATATTCATTGATATTCTTATTTACCAACATACTCTATGGACAAACTGTACTTCCTTCTATGCCTCCCACGAGCCTTCCCTCCTTCCACTAAACAACAAAAAAAGATCCTCTTTCACWATTGTCAAGTCTCCTCAAATTCAAACCAATCCTGAATACAGTGGAAGTGCAGTATAGAATATGCACATAATATCGATGAAGATCCGGCTGAAAGTGAAAAGATATGTMAAAAAACATTGATGCATATTACTCTTGTTTGCCCTGAAGTAATTTTTCTGGTTAACTTCCATATTTCTTAATGTACAGTGCAAACAATACCGAATTGAAATACATCCTCAAATGCTCTTGTTTTTCTGACTGCAGTTTTCTATGTCCACTCGAACGGCCGCGTAACATGAGTCGTGCAACCGCCCTCTCAAGGATTTCTATCGTCTAGACAAGCGTATGGTTAATTTAAATCAGTCTTTGCATGCCTCATTTGACGTTAATGATTTTATGGCTTCCTTGATCCCGCGGCAGGGGAGATTTTAATTTCCTTTTCGAATGGTCTTCGCAATGGTGCAAGCCTTCACACGATGAAAAAAATATATAATATATAATACCCTCCGCAGATCATACTGTAATACAAATTAACTGCAGTCAGTACTCCGTGAAAACAATACAATTCCGCCAGTCATATCATGTTTCTCTTCTTCCGTTTTTTCCAAGAACTCGGACAAAACGTTTACCTCCTCGGTAAACCGCAACAATAACACAGACGATTAATTCTTTTGTTCAGCAGGTTGCGAAATAGAATAGTTTCACTTTGACCTACTTATTGATATTATTCAATGTAAATACTTATAATTTATTGGCCTATACAATCGAGAGAGATCGTGAAATATTTGTACATTTCGAAGAGTCAATTGGTTTTCGACTATTTGACTCCAAGTTTGTTTCTTTTTTTGTACAATTTTGAGATCGTGAAATATTGTTACATCTCGAAGAGTCAATTGGTTTTCGAGTATTTGACTCCAAGTTTTTTTTTCTTAATAGAACGGTTCTTTCAGCAACCTAGCTAATGACGACGCATTTAACCTGAATAATGCGCTAATGGAGCAACATGCTAACATCATTGACGCAAAATGAAGCAAGTAATTGGTTTCAGGTCAAGGTCGATTCGGCTATCCCTCTTTCACTTCTGCTTTCACAATTTGGTCAAAACTCCTCCCCTTATACTATTCAAATCCGTTATAATAATCATGTAATCCGAAAATCTGACGCCATACTTCATTCATTAAATGATATCCTCAAAACGAACATAGAAATTATTTTATGAAGACTCACTATAAATTCTTATATCAGAATATTGGAAAGCCTATGTGAATTTGAAAAGCTGAATTGCTCGAGTTCCTTGTCGCTGCACTCAAAAGTTTTGACCTCTTTTTATTGTATAAATTTTAAAAATAGCATTTATYATCAGATCACACACTTTTGACAAATTAGGACATGTATTGGAAGCTAGGATTATTCCTTAAGAAATGAACATTTAGATGGAACATCCCTTCWGTTGGAAGTTTCAATGGTCGATCATTAAGCTTACAAAATCATAAATAACCCTTAGAGAGCATTGCCATTGAATACACAGAACACGTCCGAATTGATTTAATAAAGCCAATTGATGACCCTTAACTCAAAAARGTAATAGTTCCTAACACATCACGCAGCGYGAACACAAAATAACATGAATAAATCWCAGCATCATGCTCATTATCCATTGTAGGCAATTGTGTCAAATTTCCTTCCGCCGACTGATTTTTTKCGCTCCACTTTGAATTCCAACTGATGGCAGACGTGGTTTTGAATAATTTACTAAGGTTTTTTACGCAATTCTTTTGAAAATGCATATTAGATTTGTCCAGAAACATCGCARATTGCATCATCGACTGATTCGTTTCGATTTCATTGGTAAATGTGCGCGCAGAACTTTGTTTTTKKAGAATATCTTTCAAGTGATAGTTTTATACATTGTGAACTGGGAAAATAGTCAGAGTGAATCGAAAATGTAGAAATTTACAATATAGAATTACACCTTATTGCAAAAACGTTGTAATAGAGAAACAGAAAATTTATACTCTAGTGAAAAAGAAATGCGTAATAAGAACAATATTTCTTAAATTAAAGGTCAATATACTTACGCGAACAAATGAACAAATCCTTAAAATAGATGCACTTTTGAAACATTGTAACAAATCGTTTGGCTGTATTTGGTCAAATATTTCCAATCCAATATTGTATCTACCGAAAATAAATGTCACTTGATATTTTAAATCATGACAATATACTGCCTATCAAAATCTAGTTAAAATTGATCTTTTACAAATAGCCCGCTCAATAAAATACAAATGAAATCAACTYTAATCTCATTTTGGTACATCAGTAGAAAATGAATCGGAACGTGAGCAAAGAAACGAAGGCGCCATACTGAGAAATTCTTATTTTATAAAGTAATTGCAATATAATTATTTTTGGATATGGTGGAAGCTTTTGAAAATATCACGTTCTCCGATTTGACGGACACGAGCCGAAAATAAATAACCTTAATTAGGTTCTGGCAAAAATTAAATCTTTGAATTGATGAGAAATTAAATGTTTTTCCACTACAGCGTAAACTTAGGCAAAGCAGATAGGTCATAAACCAACAAATTAAAGAGTTTTTTTGTTAAATTGATAGTACACAACAGGTCGAAGCTGAACAGCTTTCAGCCAACGTTGTCCATTCTGCCTAAAGCGATTTTCTACACCTAAAGCCAATTTAATTGGTAAAATCTCTCTATTAGCCCTAATGGAGTTCCACGTAACTAATGGTTTATTTATTTTTCAATATATTCAGCTCACGTATGCCGAAAAAGGTGACGGATTACTGAGTATAAACATACTAGAGTTAAGTCCAAAACCACTTAAAATACAATAAGAGAGGTAGTCGCTTGCATCATGTTCTATTTGACTAATTATCATTCAGATTGGCTTAGCTTTCTTGGAAGCGCTTAATGTTTCCACGCTAAAACAAACCTCCCGCAAGCTTKTCAGTCTATCATGCCAAAGTATTATGCATATGCGTGTGTAACGGTTTCTTGTGCCCACGCTAATTGACAACCATAGTTCCCGACGCCATTTTGTGCAGCAAAGCATGATGGGAGTTGTAGCCCTCGTATTTATTACAGACCCTAAAATATCTCACAAAAAGACGTTTTATGGGTTTTTCTTTGTGGAAATGGTACAGCTACTTATATTTTTGCTTAGAAAAAGCAAACACTGCTTAGGAATATGGATACAAAAAAGTGCTAGGCAATGTGCAGCGACGCCATTTTGTGCCACAAAGCATGATGRGAGYWKAAGTCCTCGCAATTTTTCATRTCCGCGCCAAAACAGTTTTTGCTTTCTCCTWTTCAAAACAAGAAGTAATTGTGCCATTTCTACAGAGAAAACATAAAAAKTMTTTGAAGAACATTTTTGACACCATWAARACTGCAAYTCCAAGMATTCTTTGTTGTACAAAATGGCGTCGCTGCACATTCGCTTTWWTTTAMSSCMAAWYSRAA